CAATCGCAATCGCAATCGCAATCGCAAAAGCCGCCCGGGCTGACCAGCAACGGTTTGCAAATCCCCACAGCTGCGCTAGCACAGCAATTGTATCCTAAAATGGATCCGAGCATCGCGCTGGAGTTGCTGTCTGTGCAGACCTCGCGACTGACCTCGGTGTTTGGACTATACTCTGCTCGAGCAAATCTGAGGGCAGCGCAAAGGGATGTCAAGGATGCGGATAGGGAGTTGGAAGCTGCAAGTTTGAAGAGGGACATCACTTTGGAAGCCCTTGAGAAGGCACGCACAGGAGCTGAGCTGGCTGGCGTGGAGGAGGAGCGTCGAGAGGTGGAGAGACGCAGAGGACGAGAAAAGGGACTTTTTGTCTGATCGTCATGTACTCCACACCTGCGCTAGAGCTTACGAATGAAGCCCCTTCTCCATTTGTGGACTTGCGACGTTCGCAACAGCATCATTTTTGAGCATCTATGCAACGCGACTCACGAACGAGGACGCCTACGACGATGCTTCGACGCGGCCCGTGACTGCATAGTCTCGAAATTTGCTCTGCTCTTACCAGCCCAGGGCCCCAGGCACCGGTGGTCGTAGGACCGCCCCTTCGGCTGAAGTTGGCGCGCATGATATGATATTTGTACACGCAGCTGGAGTCAAGCGAAGATGGCGCTAAGATCTTCGCACAAGCTCTGCTGCGCAACGGAAAACAAAGCATCTCATACCCGGTGCCGGTAAGCAACGGTGTGCGAGTCGTGCACCTTAATTGAAACCCACCGCCCAAGTCCGCGGCGGAAATGTCCACCAAAATTGGGGCAAGGTGCTGCGCGCCGCGGTGCCCGCGCGCGAGGGCGCATGCACAGGCGATCGGCGGACCGTTGTGAATGCAAATATGCATGCATGCATACACCATCGGCTCCGACGCGCGAGACATGTTATCTGCATCTTTTTCACGAGCCTTTTGTTGCAAACGGGGATCCGATCTCAGCGATGTGAAATTGACGGGCTAGCTCACTCGATTCACAGCCCTCCTATCCTCTCTGTCTGCTATGTCACTCCTCCTCGTCCCACGGCCCGCGCACTTCGACCTCTATATCATCACCAACCTCACAGTGCTTGCATCCGACGCCCTGCGCTTACCATCGGTGCGCTTGATTTCATATCTGCCAAAGAGGGTACCTCGTCGAGACGTCCACGCGATGTTTCTTGGCTCACAGGAGCAACGCAACGCTCCTCGCTACGCTGACTGACATCGTGTATTGTCTCTAAGCTTCAGCTCCACGACTTCCTCGCCCACGCACAAACTCGAGGATCCGAGGTCAACTCGACACGCGACCTCACACCACCAACCTCTCGCGCCTGGCACCGCAATGCTGCCCAGCCTCTCGTCATTCTTGAGGCCCGTCTCGCCGGCTGCGGCGCCGTCTGCCTCCAACACTGCCATCGAAGAGAGTGGTGTAGGGCATGCAGCGGATTTGAACGAGTCTGCATCTGCTAGGACATGGCCACGAAGTGGGGCTGCGGGTGCGTGGGCCGATGCAGCGCCAGGCTACGCTCCCGGGGCCGACTTCTTTGCGACTCAGGCCACCGCTCCCGTCGTTCGGAATCAGCAGACGTCGAGGGGCTACATGCATGCTCTTAGCTTCAGCGACCGGTATCAGGCGATCATCACATCAGACTCTCCTGCTCTTGCTTCCACGCCCAAATTATCCACGCGTAGACTCAGAGCAACATCTAACACGCTCTCGCAACTAGACGATGCTATGCGAAGCAGCTCGAGAGCGGAGAAAAGACGCAAGAGGTTGAGCTCTGCTGCTTCTAATCATCGCATCGCCACTACGCTTCAAGCCTCACCATTCGAGTCAGATGCTTCTCGTCGCTGGGCTGACGCGAGTCACGGACTCGGCCTGGACTTGGGTCAAGGTGATGAGGCTGACTGCGCCATGGAATCACAGGACTCGGGCCGCGAGCGTAGGCAACGTACGCGTAGCGCCATGGCAACGTCTCAGTCTATGGGTCTGCAGTCCGCTGCCGACCTTCGCCCGAGGACACTACGCCATGTGGCATCCGCATCTCGTTTGCCTAGCCAAGCTGCAGCACCTCCAACCAGCACTCACGCTGTCCCGTGGCCGTCCGCTGCCAAGGATACCAACAGCTCCGCCAATGCTCGTCTAGCACCGGCACATTCGAGATGCTCATCCACAGCTAGCACCCCGGCATTGGAGATGAGTCCCAACCCGGAGCTCAGACCCTCTTCACGTTTCTTGACCCTACCATCGCGCAGACAAAGCTTTGCCTGGCTGGCTGGCGCGCTGCGAGGTGGAAGTACGAGTGGACGTGCTAGCCCTTCGAGCGAGTACGAAGAGGCATGTGAAGATCGCAGCTCCGCAGAGGCTGCATCGCCGGTACAAGGCTTGTTTGAGGTCGAAACGAAAGGCCGTCTTGTCAGCGAGATTGATGATATCAACGTGTTGCGCGCGTCCTCGTGCACGACCTCCGCCTGTCCCTCGCCGCGCTTGGCGCCGCAGGAAGATGAGACAGATCTATGTGCTTCCACATCCACGATCGCAGCGCAGGCTCGGGATGCGCCTGTACCCTCGCCTTCGCCTGTGGCGGTGCCGCCGGCCCTAGAAACCTCGGAACACGACTGTTGCACCTCCGACTCTTCTGCTGATGACGAGGATCCAGGCTTGCCATTGGACCTCTACCTGACTTCCATCACCCACCTGCTGGAGGCGATGCCGCAAGGTTTGGCCCGCTCTCTACCTGCTAGACAGCGAGACGCGCTTGCTTCGACATTGCGCAGCGCGCTCGAACGTTTGGCAGAACCAGCAAATGTTGCATTGGCGAGCGACTTGCAAGTCATTGGTGCCCACGAGACAACCTCAAAGGACCCAACCCGTCATCGTGTCGATCACCATCACCACGTGTACCACCATCTACCGACCGCATCTGAAGCGCAGACGGCGACTCTGACAGAAATACATTCCTCGAGCACGCCCGTCGCGATACCACAACGCTCGTCAGCAACGTGGCTCGTACCTAGAATGGTCCTCGACAAGCTCGCTACGCCCACTCTCCAGCTTGGTCTGACGCTCGCTGCAGCAAGCATGAGCATGGCGGCCAGAGCGGCAGAGCGCTACACCGCCAATCAACTGGTGGGACATGGCGATGTAGGACGGGGCAATTTATCTTCATCCTCCCTAGAGTGCACGTGCCGTTGCGCTTGCGGCGCTTCATCTGCACCAGTCGGCAATACTACACAGAAGAAGTCGGAGCCTGGCTGGTCTAAAGCAGAGGAACAGTCGCTGCGCTCGCTCAGCCTTTCTGCTGCCACCCTGGCAGCGACTGCAAGCCGCGTGGAACCAACGAGCACTAAGGACCACGACGAAGGTGCGAGTGCCGAGGGGCAGCAGATCGCGATCCCCAAAGAATGGGAAGGTCCATTAGCTCTGGCAAAACTTGCTGGTGGCGCTATGCTCAAACAGCTCGCGGCTGGCTTGAGTCCTTCCTCGTCGCCTCGCCCACTACCTCTCGAGGTAGAAGCTGCAGCACCTCCTGATCCAAGAAGTACGTCAGGGACGCACATGCAGCGACGGCCAAAGGCTTCTCTCGACGAGAGATCTGAGCTTGATAGCGCACCTGAACATCAACGCCAAGAGCATCTCGTCTCGCACGTCGCGCGAGCAATCAAGCGATCACCATTCCCTAGCGCTCTGAACCATCTGACGAGGCAACTGACCACAACTGTAGCTGCAATAGACAAAAAATTCGCCCTTCGGTCTAGGATGTTGGACCTGACCATCGCTTCCACTGCCAAAGGTCTGCGTTACGTTAGGGAGCACGAGCTGCATACTCGCATGATCAAGATCGGCTTCGAAGCTGCTGAGCAGAGTGTTGACGCCATCAAAGCTTATCGGGAAGAGACCGCCTGGCACCCACAAGACGTCGTTGGACAAGCTTTGCAACCTAGACGATTGCAGACCTGAGCTCCTCAGTCTGTGGAGACGTTCGTTCGCAACCTGGAGGAACGCGACCTTTACACCAATGCGCGACCCTGCGCGACCCTTTATGTTAAATTGCTCCGGCTTCGAACCACCATAAACCACAAAATAGATCGTCATCATGCCCCTGTTTAATGCTTCCGACATCACACAGACCACACGCATTTGTAATGATTACCATTGTAACGTGCTATCGTCTCGACCTATCCCGCTCACATACCTCGTGATACCGTCTCGCACGAATATAGATCAAGATTTTTGCAGACGTACTTGAGGAGTGCCTGCTGGCATTTTGCGCGCTTCGCTGTACAAATACAAGTAGAGTAAGACAGGGCGCACTTAGCTAGCCCGCGATCGTTTGGAGGGTTTGTTGCGAACCTTGGTATCTCTGGAGGGATTGAAGACGATAGCTGCTCGTCAGCAAGCTACGCAGCCCCTACAAAACGCAACACGCTCGCCACCACTTACGCAAACTTCGCATTCTTTCTCTTCCGGCTTTCGTGCTTCTTCGCGTTTTCTTTCGCTCTTCTGGCTGTTGCTGCTTCGGGATTGCTGATGCCTTGCATCAACCTTGCCGTCTTGCGCTCGCGGCGCTTCTCGAGGATCGCTTGCTTGATGCGGGAGTGCACGGCGGCATACCTAGTGGCTCCAAGCTGCGCCTGGAGAAGTTCCTGAACTTCCATCGCGAGAGACTTGAGCTCATCTGGAATTCAGGCAGAAGAGGTCAGTATTGGAATGCACGGCCTAAGTGCATACAACTTCTGCTCACCAAATCTGTCCGCCTTGAGACTCTCGTCATCCAGAATGCGGAAGATCGGTCCGATCATGTGAGACAGAAATGGTTCGATGCGCGAGGACTCAAGCTGCGTAGCCATTGCTGCAAACCAGCGCAGCACAGAGGCAGCACGATTGATTTGAGGCTGCACACAGAGTTCGCAAAGTAGTCGGTCAGCTTGTGCAAGTAAGCAAGGAAGAGCAGGAATTGGAGCTCACCTCTGCATTGCCAGCATTGAGTCTCGCGCCTCTCGCTGTGAACGAAAGCTTCGTGTAAAGCCAGGCTAGAGGGTTCGCCGCCGCATTATCTTGTTCCTCGGGAGTACTTTCATTCTCGTCATCACCCTCGTCATGAGCAGATGCCTCTTCCGTCCGCTCGATCGAAGAGCCACGGTCGTGAGCAGGCATAAGAGCAAAACAGCGTCCTATGTACAAGAGGTTCTTCACCGCTTGAAGGCTGAGCTCATCGTTGACCTCTTCTGCATCTGCTTGAAGCTGTAGCGCTAGTTTTCTTGCGATTTCGATCATGAAATCGAGACTGAGTGGCTCATCCTCGGTTGGCTGTGCAGCTGGCGTGGACGCAAATAGCGAGCCTAATGACCGACTGGCCGCTAGTCGTACCCACGCGTGAGGAAAAAGAAGGAGACCGACTGTGGATCGCCAGATGCTAGATGTCGAGCGAGATTCAAGGATATCGAGGGCTTGTTGGCCCGAGCGAAGCTGCTCCGCAAATTGTAGAGCCTGGTAAGCGAGCTGCCAGTCCAATTGCTTCGGATCACCTAGATCATCGAACGTTGTGTCAAGTTCGGCGCCCACGAGATCTGACACACACGCTTGCAGTGTACCATCGAGACTAGACAGCGCACGCGGCAGCCACTCGCTGGCGGACTCTGGAACAGCACCCAAGAATATCCCGTAGACCTGCATGGCTACTCTCATGAGCTGCGACTGCTCGCGCTGCGTTGCCCAGGAATGAGTGAGGTGAATCATTCGTCCGCGATGCTCTTCGTCCACCAAGGTGCAGAGAACACCGATCAGCCGAGCTGCTTGCTCTCTGCAAGAACTGGAATCGTCGTTGGCGAGCACCGTTACCAAAGCCACGAAGAGTAAGTCGGCGTGTTCCCGGATGACGACCATGTCAAACTTGGCGAGCACTGAGGAGAGCAGGGAAAGAAGACTGAGCCGCCCACTTTCGTAGGTGTACGACAGGTTCTTCGCCATGAACTGCATTTGCTTGCGCAGACGGCTTTTGCCTAGCGGGTACTCTAGCATGAAGTGAATCATCGCAGCTCGGCACGAGTCGCGCACGGTTGCACTTTGGTTCGTCACCAGTATTTCTGCGATCTTGTCCATCGCTTCGTACATCTCAAGCAGAACTATCTTGCGCGACAAGATGCCGCGCAAAAGTGCGAAGATGGCAGATTGGGCCAAAGGCTCCTCCAACTCTGGGATCACCACTTTCACAAGATCTGCCAGCTGCTGCTCGGGCAAATGTGCGTCTTGGCAGCCTCTCAAGACCGAGGTCAGGCATTTGATTGCTGCCTGGCCCATCGTCGACTGGGCAGTGCCTTCGCGCTGCACGATTGCGAGTATTTGCTTGGCGAAGACGGGTGCGGCTTGCTCGAGCGAAGGCAGGTCGTGCTTGACCAGGCCACTGATCGCTTTCATACTCAGGACGACGATTGAGCTTTGCGGGGCGTAGAGAGTGTGACCTGCGAGGTTGACTAAAGGATCGAGGCGTACAGCGAGCATGCTCGCTGCATCCTTGAATCGCTCTCGTCTCAAAGCCGTGACTAGAAGGTCGAGACCGAAGGCGACAAAGCGGTGAGCGTTGCGCGCCCTATGGTCTTGAGCAGCTAGCCCAAGCTCGACATCCCTTCTCTTCATGTGTGTAATGAAGCGATAGCCTCCTTTGAGCTTGGCTCCTCCTTTGTTCATTGCGCTCTTCTGCGGCTGAAGAAAAGCCGCATTGCCGGCAATTAGGGAGTGGCAAAGAGTGAAGAACGTTTCTGCGCCAAAATGTGGATTTGCATTTAGACCAGATGCGATGCGACGCAGCGCGTCCTCCGCAGCTATCAGAGATCTCTGAGCCTCGGTTTCGGCGAGGACGTCACGGACAGGTTCCAGAAGGACTCCAAATTGAAGAGGTGCGACCACCTTTGCAAGCCTTTCAAAAGTATCCATACTCTTGCTGTGCTTGACCTCCTTGAGCTTCGTTCGATTTTCCACGGTGACACGGTCCTCCGCAGTGAGGCCAAAGATATCTTCGGTTGCGACATGTACCAGGTCTTCTACTCCATGCTCAAGTAGGCTGAGATGCGCGGGCGCATCCGCAGGCAGGGACATCAAGTGAACCAGCAGACCGTGCGCCGTGAAAGCCAGTACCGCAAGCTGAGTACCTCTGACGAGGGCACGCCTTAGTTCCCGCATGGCAGTGGGCAAGTGTTCGGGGCCAAGTGCAGTCATGACCTTACAGAGCGAATCGCGGCCAAGATCGCGCGTGACTTGCGATTTGCTTTTCTGCACGTTTGCTAGCGTTGTGAGCAACTTTCCTATGTGATTTGACTTGGACGGCTCTGGGAGGCGCAGCGCAACGCGGCAGACACCGATCGCCACAGGCAGCCTGACCGCGTCATCCGCCTCGTCCTTCTCATCGAGATAGCCCATCAGTGCTGGAAGTAAGCGAGACGTGACCGCATCTAGGATCTTGCCGGACTGCTGCACAGCGTCACTGTGCATCGTACCTTGGACTTTGAGCTCGTTCTCAGCATCCTGTTCGCCTTCTTCGATGACTTCTGCACCGTCGTCGCCGCAGACCTGTGCGTCAAGCTCGAAGTGGAACGAGTCAAGCACAGCCATGGCTGCACGGACGAAGATCTTTTGGGAGCCTTCGGTTTCGTTTGCCAGACGCAGGAATCGCCAGAGCAAAGCGTTGTAAGAGCCCCATTGCAGCTGTGCTGCTAGCCGACCAAAGCAGACGATAGTGTCGGTGATCAAATTATGATCGCTCACAGCGTTTCCTGGGATCAGGAAGTGCATGAGAAGTGGTGACAGCAGCTCTACAATCGTCTTGCCGCGTATTCTGCCCGCCTCAGCTTGATCTCCCAGACGTTTGAGCGCTCTAGCGCGTCGGTGCAGCTGCGTGTGGTAGATGTTGGTGAAGAAGCTTGCCTCCTCATCGCCATCGGCTAACAAGCACTTCATGTCTCCGAGTGAGTCGAACGAGTCTCCTAAGTACTCGATCGCACTCATCAACACGCCAAGCACTTCCCGGCGGACCAGCTCGTGCTTTGAACGTATGCAGCGCCGGAGGCCAGGCTGGACAATAGTGCGATATGTATGACGCCAACCGTCCGCGTCGCTGGCCGAAACTCGAGCAACTGCTTCTAGGTACACACGAAGCAGCTGACCAGCATTGGATCTGATAGCAAGCTCATCTTGGTCCTGAATGAAGTGCAGCATGTTCTGCAAAAGCGGCACCCATTCGCGCAGCGCAATGTCCTGCTTGGAGCTCGTAATCTCGTCAAAGGCTTCGAGGCGCCTGTCAAAATCGGGTTCTTCCACTCGACGCGTGCTGAAAGCGTTGAGTTCCTCTATCCAGCGCGCAATCCGCGCGAGGTTGGTATCGATCTTAGCAAATTGCCCAAAGGCCGCCACCAATGTTTGGCGAGATTCTGCAGACCGCATCGTGGCAAAAGCTGCCGAGAAGGTGTGGTAGTGCGCGGTGAAAATCTCAGATGCTGGATCCTTAAAGTCCGGTGTGAGGGCAAGAAGGTCACGGAAGATGCGCAGCAAATCCGTCTTTGTCCGCTCGGGAACGGCGTGGTTGCTCTTTCGGAGCATGGGGCCGAGCATTTTCAGAAGCTGCGATGCGTCCTCGGGCGACTCGACGTAGCGCGCCAGGCTTGCCAAAATATGTGTCAGGCGGCGGACAGAGTCGTCAGTACTTTTGGGTGAAGAGCTTCCAGCCAATCCGTGCCGTTGCATCAAAGGGCGGATGCTGTTGAGAAATGCACTAGTATTGGGTCTAAGGACGCGATCCACTTCGGCTTCACCTCCCTCTTGTACTTCGAGGGTGGAGATGACGAGAAGGCGATCGACAATGTCGAGTATTCGCGTGATGACGGGCGGCTTGACTGTCTGCTCTGCAAGGCAAGCAAAGACGCTTGGGAGCAGCTGATCGTTGTATTGAGAATGCAGAAGATGCACAAATTCCAGACGACCTGACCAAACGTAAAACAGATCTAGCAGAGCTGACGATCCCTGTGCGCTGTCCGCTGGCAGAGTCGGCAATCGAGGGTCAATGAAGCCCTCAAAGAGTGCAGGCAAGAAGGGCTGCCAATTGAAGAGATCCTTGCCGGGCTGGTTGAAGAGTTCTGCAATACGCCTTAGACCGGCCTGCCGAAGACTGCGCAGAGCTTTCGTCGAGCCTTCTGCCTTCTCGGCTGCTAGGGAGGCGTGGTGCGCCAAGTTCAAAGTCACGCTGATGAGCTGGGGCCAGTACGGTCGCATTGCTTGGCTGACGTGCTTGATAACGTCTGCCAAGAGGGCGATGAATCCATTCTGTCGTCGGATCGAGGCGCTGCTGGCGGTAGAGCTGAATCGGAATTGTTCGTCCGCAGGCAGATCAACGACACGTTGATTTTTGAAGGGAGCGAGCATCAGGTCCACCAACGTGCCGAGGTCTTCTGCTGCAAGCCTTGCAAAGGCTGCCATGATGGCAGTCTTGCGTGCTGACTGGCCCGCCCCGGAAGAGCTGCGGTTGCGTCGTGACACCATGATGCCAAACAAGATGCGGATGAGCACAGGAAGCAGCCCACTTCGATGCGCAGGCTGGATAGTGTCACCAGAAGCGGCGAGATTGAAAGAAGAAAGCTCTTCTCGGAATTTGGACGTCTCCAGCAAAGCCAGCAAATTCTCGGCGTACGGGACATGTGCAGGATCCTTCCACGTGAGAACGCACTTGAGTGCAGGGCGTTGTATGCTTGGATCGCCTATTGCGCACAACGACATGAAGTACCGGTGCAGGTCTTCCGCGCGCGAAAGGGCCTTTGGATTTGTGAGCTGCGAGAAGAGCTCCAAATAGCTGCACAGACGCGCGCGGCGTTCCTTGGATGTAGCTCCCAGGCGAGGCGTCACGGCGGTCTTCGACGTGGCTGTATTTGCTTGGAAGGCTTCTTCGTCTTCATCATCCGTGATGGCTGCGGTATCTTGAACCAGAGCGAGGAAGTGCTCTACGAAAGGCGCATTGTGTTTTTCGACCAGACGTGGGAGACGCACAAAGAGCTTCAAGATTTGAGAGTGGTAATTCTGAACATCTAGTCGTCCCTCGACGGACTGAATTTCTCCCAAGTCGTCCATCATCCTCTGCCGTTCGTGCGTGCCATCTTGTAAGGCGGCGTTCAAGGCTGCCGCTATTGCAAACAGCCGTGCGCGAAGCTGCGGGTCGTCAAATTCTTTATCTTGAGGATCGTCAAACCAAACGGATGGTTCAGAGCGCCCCGCGTCTTTTTGGGACAGCTGCGTTGGCGCCGTCCAGTCGGTAGGAGTCTGTGGACCATGGCAGTTATCTTGCAGCTCCCTGAATGCGACCGCCCATACTTGCTCTCCGTATTTGGTCGAGAACTCGACTAGCGCTTCTCGAGCCTCGGGCCACAGCGGGCTCAAATTTAATTTGAAAATTCCCACGAGGTACCTAGCGATTAGGTCTACCGCCAATGCGTGCTGCTCAGCATCGGAAGCGGCGGGGGCGCCGAGTCGGATAAAATCTCTGACAAGCGCCCTCGTACGCACGTTGCGATCCCGGATACACTCGATCGTCAATGGAAGTGCTTCGATGGCTGATATCATCGACAGCAGGTCCGTGATCGGGGTGCTGGGAGATGCTGTCAGTAAATCTGCGATTGCTCTACGCATCCGTGCATCGGACGAAGCCGCATGTTTCGCCACCACGTCCTTGAGGTGGATCAGCGAAGGAGGCGATCTACTTGCGCACTCGATCCTTTTGCTACGTGCGGTGATCATTAGTCTCGTGGCGGCGCAGAACGCGAGATGATGATCGGCTAGGTGAGACAACACGAGAGTAACTGCTCCCTCAGAACCCAGAAGAGAAGCAAGGTGCTGACCTTCATCCTTGTTGCTCACGTCCGATTCGAGAATGTCTGAAAGCGCGTCCATGGCGAGGGCAGCGATGAGCAGACCATTCAGTGGCGAGCTTCTCCACTCTCTGTTCAGGCCAATCTGCAGCGCCGCTGAAACAAGATGTTGCAGCGATCCGGTAAATGAGCGCGCTTGCAGCCGAGCAAAAGTCGGCGATAATCGGATGGCGGCGAGGTCGAGCGGCTGGACGACAGCATCGACCGCCAATTGCTCGCTTCTTACGACTTGCTCGACGCGCAAAACGAGCGATGACAGCTGATCATTCACAGCTGCAGTCACCTTGCTGCACCAATTGGCAACATGAGGTGTTGCTGCAGATGACGCAATGGTCTCGCCTAGATTCCCTTGCCGATTCAGCTCATCCAATAGTGCAAGAGCAGAGGCCTGCTGACCGCCGTCAGCTGGTGACGTCAAAGCGGCGGTCGTGAGACGCATGACAGCTGGCATCACAAATTGCTTGAAGCCTGACCAACTGATCTCGGAACGACCCAAAGCCATGACCAGCGCTGCGAAGTGAGGCGAGAGTACAGGCGCTGCCCCGAAAGCATCTATGATCTTGATGCCTCGACCCACCAGCTCTTGGATGCGGCCAAGCGGCAGTGAGAGGGCCAGGAGCTCCACAGAGCGCTGTGATAAGAGCCGTTTTGCTACATTCGTAGAGCTGTGGTAATGGCTCGCCCATTCCGAGAACTCGAGCAGAAAGCCGAAGAGCGTTGGTTTCAAAGAATCTAAATGGGCGCACAGAATGATGAGAGTCCTTGCTGCCTGCCTGGTAAATCCATCCAAGGCTGATACACTCACCATCAACGCGTTTTCCCTTCCTCACCCCAACAAAGACGCCCACTAGCTGCAAGAGGTGCGCCAGCTCCGAAGTCAACGTGTCTGCTGCTTTTTGATCTGAACACGCTTTTAAGGACCTCAAGGTGGAGGCCGCGCGAGTGATGAGCATCTCAGCCACCGGTGCAAGGTGACTCGAATGCACTTGGTGCGTAAGATTGACCAACACCAGCAGCGATACATTCTGCAAGGTTGCGGGTAGGTCGGGCTTCAAGTATCTCAACGCGAGAAGCCGCTCCAGCACCGCAATTGCGCCAGACTGCAAACGGCCATCGGAAGCCTGCCAAAAAAGTCATGACGTGTCATCAGGAACTAGCACATGGCTACACGTGGCGATCAACTCAACAAGAGCCTCACCTTACAGACTTCTGCCCACACTGCCGCCACGCCGACCGTAAAGGTGGTGCTCGACAACGCCGACGCATCCCTAATCATAGCGCTCGCCAGGTTGTCCAGCTGCGTTTCTCGTGCCTTCCGAGCAAGATGCGCCAGGGCCTCTGCTGCAAAGCGTCGCGTATATGATGGAACTTTGCGTGGGCGGCTGCGCGGCCTAGAGGCGTCGTCGCCAGCTTCAACACCCCTTCCCGCGGCATCTTCTGCATCTGCTGAGCTTTCGGCGTCGCCCTGCGCTTCTTGCTCGCCGTCGCGCTCGAGATGGTCATCGTCGCCGTCATCTTGATTGACATGTCGCTCTGTGGCCTGGGCAAGGTACTGGCCAGAGCCAATCTCTGAGCTGTACCAGCCAAGATACGGCTTTACGAGATCCCACGTGGCCAGCAAACGTTTTGAATCCTCTTGTCTGAGGAGCAGAGGCGCCACCACCCTAAGAGTTACTGCTGCAGAATCAAAAGCATTCTCAACAAGTCGAGCCGCAAGACGCTCATCCTGATTGCATTGATGCTTTGACAGGGTGGCTGCGTGGAGCAGGGCGCCCAGAAGCTCTGGATAGACTGGCTCAGACTCCTCTTGCAAATCCAAAGCGAGGCGAGGCACCAAGTCGATGGCAGCGTCGTATGCCAGCCAAGCATCAGGGTGGTGGGATGTCAACAAGTCTGCCAGCAACGATGATACCTTCTCGCGGTGATGTAGCAAGAGCGGCAGCGTTTGCGCCAGTGGTGCGGCTTGCTGAGCGAAAGAGGTGAACGGCAGAGAAAGGTTGAGCTCTCGCCAGCCCGTCAGCGCCCGCCCGAACGAAGTCTCGGAGAATACCGCATCGGCTGTAGCCTCGTCATCCAGATCATCGTCCACGTCCATTATTCTGTGCGAAGTGGAAGAGGATGAGCTTGCAGCCAAAGGGCCGTGAGCTTCGAGTCCTGCGAGCGCATGGTTGCGGGCGGTCTTGGATGCGCCAATGTGAGCGGTGGCGAGTCGATCGTTGAAGGAGCGATACCTGAATGGATGAGGATCGTCTGCCAGCTCTCGGTCCTTGCCTTTGGCCTTGATCTTGGCTTTGGCCTGCAATTTGGCTGGATTGGTCACTGCTGACGCCACCTTGCCGGATGCTGCCAACGTGGCCGACCGCGCGGCCTTCTCTGCTGTTAATGCTTTGTTGAATGCAGCTTCGCGTGTCGGCTTCTTCTTCGCCTTCTTGGCGGGGAATGATGCAGAAGGAGGCATGATCGCCTGAGAGGTGCGAGCGAGTGCTGAGGCCTACAGGTGCCGGAAAGGGGATGGGGTCTCGAAGTGGAATGGCTTACCTTGGAGCTGGCTTCCGAGATTCACCATTCTGATTGATATTGACATCGAGAGGTTGAGGACAAATTCGTGCAGCCGCCATGCAACGCAAAAAAATCCCGCGCGAGAACTTGACCGAAAGGCGCATGCTGGTCGAACACGTGATCGACATGTTCGAGCGTGCCACGCCCGTGCTGCATGGAGGCCGCGAAATGCCCGTCCCGCCCTTGTGAACTCGCGACTCGCGACTCGCGACTTGTGACTTCATTTTTGGATCGGTGATGTTCTTCTTTCATGCGCAGGAACACGATCTCGCCTCGAGCACGCTTTGTGAGCTGCATGGCTTACCCGGGTAGGATGGACCGCCGTAGGAGACGTGCTTCGGACGTGAAGCCTCGCTCTTCACTTGGTGATGAGCGCACATGCTTCAGAGCCACGCCATCGTCGCCATGAGCAGCTCAGAAGTGGAAGTGCTTGGTGCCACTTGAATCGCCTACGGCGTGCATCGCCACGATCACGCAGCTACACCGCTCAGACACACATCGCGCCTTGAAAGCTGTCCACATCTCCTCTAAGCCCGGCCCTTGGCCCGATTGCACCCGCTCATTATGGCGCAAAGACTTGACTTGAAACTGTCGCGGCAAGGATTGTACATCCACTGCCCTCGTTCCTTGGCTGCCACAGAACAAGAGGCGACATCGCTTCACGCTGCCTCTAGCACGTCCACCAACAGGACTTCGTCGGACCGCGCGCCCATCGAGGGCCACTTGTCATTCACACTGCCAGTTGCGAGCATCGTCAGCACACTCCGCGTCCGTCTGGTTGGCATACAGATCCCAAAAAAGGCACTGGTCAGAGAGTTCGACCATCCGCCTCGCGCTGGAGATGCTGGAAGGCTTGTCTTGAGTTCGCGCGCCAGACCAGCTACCGTCATTTGTCAGACGGATGCCCAAATACACTACGTATTCATCGACAAGCCATTGGTCAAGCCCGAAGACCAGCATCTCAAGCTTCAAAAGGGCGAGCACATGTGGGTTGTCATTCTTCTTCTGACGAGCGCTCGACACGCACACAAGGCTCACGAGTCCAGCTTTCAGCTTTGCCTTTACTGTGACTCCTCCTAGATGGGCTCCTCCGACGCAGTGCAACGACTACCAGTGGATCACCTATGAGGTCATTGCTACCGTGGTCAGCAGCTCTGATCCCAGTCCGAACGCAGCACTGGAGCCCTTATGGACAGCGGATCGTCAGTCAGAGCTAGACGCAAGGCATGCGGCTGCCTCCATCGAGGCTGTTCAGGTGCCAGCATGCAGTCGAAGCTTCATGTCGAGGGGCCTGAGCTGGCTGAGAGCCTCCTCCAGTGAGCATACATCGAGCAAGAAATGTAGCGTGCGGCTCGGCGTCCAGTAAGTCACGCTTCCGACGAATACAGTCCTTGCTGTGTGCGCCTCGCTTGGCTGACGTGGGCTCTGCTTGCGTTCCGGTCAGTCCTTCTACTGAAGGTCCGTCCCGACTCAACTTTTTAGACCTGAATCTGCTGCCCTTGATAGCACGCCCGCCCGGCTTTGGGTGTCGCGCTTCACTCGATAGTATCAATGCTCGATATGGCGGCTGCTTCAGCCTGCGAATACGTGTGGACCTGCAAGACACGTCTCCGAAGCCGAATGCGCCTTGCTATGTCCGCATAGAACGTATCAATCTGCTACTTAGACAAACATGGGCTTGGAATGGACCAAACGTCCATCTTGCACCTTTGAGCGTCAGGACAGGAAAGGCGCTGGAGTCGAGCCTGTGCAGGTGGACAAATCAGTGCGCCATCCCGGCTGAGCTTCGGCAAATGCTGCAGCCCGGCAAACACAGCGGTCACCGCTACCATCATGACTTTCGGCCAGAGTGGATGCGCCTCGCGCCTGCAGAGTACGAGCTCAACGAGATCCCAGCTCAACCTCTGCTTGCTACGTCTTCATCACTTCCGATCCACGGCACGTCACATCTGCATCCAAGCTCAGATGCTGGAGCAACCAGGGAGCTTTCTTCCTCATTCGGTACACATGGTCCACCTGATCCTTATCTAGACTGCGAGGCTACGCCAGCGGGGCTGGCCAGTGGCGGTAGCAGCGAGCTATGCACGTCGGCAAGCCCAAATGGGGATAGCGATTTCCACGGACGCCTCGAAGATCTCCAAAAGTCTGGCATCGACAGCTCACAGGCGGACCATGCCAGATCAGAGAGCGTGTGCGGTGGGACCTCGATGTCTGTATGGCTGCAAGCTCTGTTTCCGACACCCCCATTGGAGGTCGGTGACCACAACGGCGATCCAAAAGACCCTGCAAAGAAATGGGAGTGGCAGCCTTCAACGCTCCAGGAGACGAGGAGCGAGATCAGATTTTCTCACGAGATCGAAGCGCGTATAGAATGGAGACTGATTAGCCTGGAGGACAGTGGCTCTGTCGTGGAGCACGAGCCGCAGACGGCGCTGCTCGGCAGATCTATTACGCTGGTGGATGTGAGTAGCAGAGCTCTGGCGTAAGGGAGCCTATCCGTAATTGACCAAGTATCCTACCTGATCAGGAGGACATGCGCACAGCCAATCTGGAGCTGCCGCTGTACTCGGACGTAGTTGCAGCCGACAAAGCTGCTGCTTTGCCCACACAGCCGTCATGACGACCTTGAGCGCTCGAGTGCTCCTAACACGCCTGCTGCAAGATCGAGCATTGATACGCCATCGTTGCCTTTCGCAAATAGCCTCCACGGATGCGCAAAGGAACTCATGATTGCCAGTACCTTGAAAGCAGGCCATCCAAGTCAGTACCTGTCAGCCCCCCCTTCCAATCCACCATCGCTTCGACATGTTCGAACTGTTCGAAGTGCCCGCTGCAGGGCGTGCTAAGCTAAGCCTACCGCGACAGAATCCTTGCAAAGGACTACGGAATAGCAATATATTCCGTGGACGTCATACTTCCGTGAAGCATTTGATCATGATTGCTGTTCCGCCTCAGAGATTAGGGATGCAGCTGAAATGAGTCGTCAGTCTAGAATCGCGCAAAGTCGTAACAGTAGCGTGTGCGGCAGAGGTTGCTCCATGTATACCGACTGGCACGCATGCAGGGGCGCTCGAGCCACTCGAGATTCACGAGCGCACCTCTGACGCTACCCCGCCTCGCGTTCGTCCGTTCCTGGTGCAGCAGCAGAGACGCGGGGACTCGCACTGAATCCTTGAGTGTACAACACGAGTGCTTGATTCGCATCAAAGTCTGGATCGGCGATTAAGATCTCCTGACACCACCTCAAGTTGCAGAGCTATCTTGCGGCCTGCTTCGCCCCACTCTTGAATCACTGTCACGACTGACGACTGCATCGCCAGCGGCAGCGGCAGTCCCTCCCGTTGTCGACTCATTGCGCACTTTGACTTTCCCTCCCCGATGCTACTACTGTGTCTGCTCGACGAGTGACAGGAAGACCGGCTGGAGGTGGTGTACAAGCCAAAGCAAGGGCATACGCACGTGAACCCTCGCAATGTCTACTCCGCCGGTCTCCATCGGCGCCTCGTCGGGCTCAGTCCCGCCAAATTCGACCAAGAGTCCCGGCACGCGTCGGTCCATCGATATCCTTGCTGCGGATGAGCAAATGGCGCTTGCGTCAACGAACAGTCATCAGGAAAGGGCTGATGAATTGCCTCTTTCGCCTGGGAGATCGAACGCTGCGCAGCCTGTATCTCGACTGCGCGTCAAATCCTCGCGGGAAGCTCTGGGTGCCTTAAGCCACCCCACTCCACCAAGCACGAACGGTAGCGCTACCCCCCAGCAGCTTTCGCTCGACTCTCTACCTGGGCCCGCTGCCCACGCCATGGGAGGCACCGCAAGCGATACACTATCCCCTTCATCTTCGTCTGCCGGACACGCTGCTCCCTTACCGGCGCAAGCAGTGTCCAATCATCAGGAGGGGACCTCTGCGGCATCTAGACGCATGAACGATCCCGAACCAGGTACGCTCAGCTCGGTAGCCCCCGCCATGGATTCGACATTGAAAGGAGGCTCGGGGAGGGCCAGACACTGTCACTTCGTGCTGCTGGCGGAATTCAACATTGACAAGGGCAGCACGCTTTCCTACCAGTTTCCAGCGCCTCTGGAGCACGACGACCACATGCTCGCGGAGTTGATGCTACCTGACGGTGCTCATGCGAGAGCAGAAGACTGGACCGTCTTCTTCTTGGACGACAATCGGCCACTCAGAAGCCTGACAGCGAGTCAGAGTAGCACAGATTCTGACGAGAAGCGGAGGCACAGCAAAGAGCTGAGTGACGCCGACGAAGGCGGTGAGCTCACGCACGTGCTCAATCTGGTCAGGACGAAGCACGACAACACTGTAAGGAGGTGAGTGGTCGGGATACGCTTATATGCGCTGTCGCTCGTACTGAGGTGCTGCCGACTTGCAACAGAGGTGCGCTTGTGCGAGCTATGGCCATTGGCACCTCGCATCCGTGGATACAGGTGTTCAAGGTGCGTGTTTTGGCAAGAATAACCGCCAGCGGGCCAAACTGATGCGCGCATTGATACATCTTCTGCAGCCGATCTTACAACTGGCTCTGGACGACTTCTTCGCCAAGCCGCGGGAAGAACCCTTGTCGAAGCTATATGAAGCGATCAACAGCCTGGATCTCAGCGCCATGCCCAAGCTGAGCAGAGACGAAAAGCTTATCCTGAGAGCGAGCGACTCGAGAGATCTTTTTGCCGAGCGCTTCGAACCTGTCATCACTCAAGAGGAGAGCGCGCGACCAAGTCTGAAACAGAAAGGCAGCAAAGCAAGCCTCCTCTCGGCTGCAGATGGCGGCCAGTCTTCATCAATAGGGGGTAGAACCGTCCAGCAAACGCCCCCGATCGTGGATGTGGACCCTCCAGACGAGTCGGATTCCTCTGCGCCAGCCGTCGCGAACAGGGTCTTTTTGCCACGCAGGACGAGCGCGGCATCGCTCAGGCAGCATTCTCCCAGCTTGCGACGCAAACCTTCTGCTTCAGCGAAAGCTGCTTTGGACAGCCCGGCAGATCCTGACGCCGCCCCCCTCACCTCGTCGCACTCCAGGCCTAGGAAGGGCTCTTGGTCTGCCGCCACCATCTTCTCAGGTATGGCAGGTAACCACAGCAGCGCGTCGGCCTCGGTGACTAGTGCGAGCCAGGGAGCTCTTCCTGTTCGAGACACGCATTTTTACGAGACCAGCCTTGCTTATCAAGGCAAGTCGGTGCCACTGCGAATACCCTTGCACACCTTCCCAGAAGAAGTCGGCGATGTGAGTCGGAATCAATACGGCGCGGTGCAACATCCCAAGTGCTGACAAGCTCCCCCATTTAGTACTCTTTGATGTCGCTGCATTCGGCTTTTTGTGGGACTTCATCCGTGCCGAGTGGGCCGATGCATGGACATTTGCACTCCAATGGCTCCCAGACGCCTGCTTTGATCATGCTCTTCAATGCCGTTGCCACCGGCAAACGCGTCATCTTTCTGGGCCACGGTCAGCCCGCAAACACCGTTGCAACGCACGTGCTTTCTGCCTGCGCCTTGGCAAGCGGTGGAGGTGCTGTCTTTCGTGGCTTGACTCGAAGGGCCTTTCCTTACTGCAACCTGGGCATGATGGACGAGCTGGAGCGGACGTAAGTGACCGCAGCCCATGCCTGGCAAGGCCTCGAACGCTTACAGGCATTCACACCGTCATTCAGCCCCGGCTACATCGCAGGTGTCACGAATCCACGCTTCGAGGATCTGCACGCTTGGGACGTTCTGTACAACACGGACACCGGAAAGGTCACGGTCGCAAAGGATGTCGAGCCAGCTCCACCCCTGCGACCCCATCTTCCACCACAGCCCTCGAGAGGAACGTTTTCAAGCGGGAGCATTACTAGCATGGCTGGTAGCACGGGCTTAGGTCACGATGCGCTGGTGTCTGGTGCTGCATCGAGTGACTATGGCGAGTATGGCTCTCAGATCTTGGGCGGAACCAGCAGTCATACGTCTTCCGCCTTTGTAGGCGGCTCCAGCATCAAGAGCGGTTCTAGCAAAGATCGGACCGGGGTGAACATAGAGGCCAGACCAGATGCACAAGACCTTCTGTTCATCGAGGAGCTGCAGAATGCGGCTGCGGCTCGCTGCGGAGATCGATATCTTCTGGCACGCTGGACCGACTTCGCGTTTTCGTTTGCTCGCGCAGTAGCAAAGCATCAAGAGCAGTTCTATGGTCATATCACCATTGGTCTTCCGCCAAGCCAGCCGTTTCTGAATGCACAGCTCGGCAGCGGCGCAGTCTACCCAGACAGAGACACAGAGCTCAAGGAGATCTCCGCCAACAATATGCGCGCTGCGGGCTGGCTGACAACTGATGCGTGTCGCTTGTTTCGTGCTGTGAGTTTTCGAACGCTATCTGCTTTGTCTGAGCAGTCTTTGACTTTTTCCAACACCTCCTGATCGCTCAGGACGAGATTCGCAGCGATTCACTGAGGGCAATTGTCGGTTACGATGTGCAACATCAAGTGCAGAGGCTGAAGCGTGCACGGCACATGTCTGCCGCTGAGGCGGAGCTGATCTTTGTCACACTAAGCAGCACTATTCGAACACCCCAGCAGATCACGGAGGTGAGCGATTGATTTTGAACAAGCTCAGATGTGGAGCTTACTCGGATTCGTCATGTTCGTAGTTCTTGGCATTGCATGCGCCGCATACAGGCAGTCTTTCGTCGATTGCAGTGGGCCTATTGCATCCTTCCAGCACTGTCAGAGGAGCGTCGGTCGAGCTTTTGAGCTCATTGTGCACTACTTCGCTTGGACGCAAATTTGTTCAAAGCTTGAACATCTTTCACCGTCTAGCCTTCGCTAGGCAATTGACGGAACGCGAGCGAGCGCATGGATTGACTGCGTCGCACTCGAGTGGCGTGGAGGTCCAGGATCGAAGTGCTCTCAGGCTCTCCGTCATGCCAGTCACTCCCTTGACGCCCGGATTTACGGGCGGAGCTCCGTTCTCTCGGACGGTCTCGGACAGCTACGGAGGGTCGACTAGCTGGTCGAGTGGTGCTGCGAGTCTCCAGCGGCCGAGGGAGGGATTACCTCGAGCCTCAAATGGTTCGTCTGTTTACAGCACATCTGTACCCACCGACGCTGGGTTGCTGGATCGCACGCCCAAGAGCAGCGCGAGTGGCAGCATCGACCCCTATCCACTCATCTCGACACCAGAGGGCGCATAGTATTGGTATTGCAGCGTCTACGAACTTGCTGGAGCTCGCTCCGTCAGCACACTCTGAGTCCCACAGAACAACACTCATCCCCGCATTGTATTCGAGAGTCGACCCAGGCACATACCCTTACGACCTTCCCTTGCCCTTGTCTGATCGCTGCGAGTCCAACGTGCCTTTCCAGGTCTTCGCAATGCTAGGTCTCTCAGACATGCGCTCCGCCCAGGCCGCCAGCTTTGGAGCTTTCTGAGCCAAGACAGAGCCCTTCAATCGCATGTCGACGCGCAGCAAGGTCAGTTGCTGAGCTCAGTGCGCGCCATTATCGTTCAGCAGAGCTCACCTCCGGCGTGGCCTTCAGGTCAGCAAGGGGAGGGTAGACGTAGAGATCTGCCCAGCTAGGACTGTCGGTGCCTGCAATCCATTTGCTCGCTTCCAAATCTTGATGGGTGAGCTTCTCGAACGTTGCGAGAAGCGCTGCAAGGTTGTCCAGGTTACCCTCGAGAGCGACGCCGATGGAAGCTTCGTCAGCCCCATTAGATTCCATCGCTAGACGAGGCTTCACCACGCCATGCTCTAGAGTCTGATAAAGCTGAGTGCACACGAGTGAAACGACGCGATCAACCTTCGCTGCTTGACGAGCGGACGAGGGAGTCAGGGGCGACAGGGCCGACTTTGTTCCATGTTTCGACTCGTTGCTCAACGCCCCAAATTCTCGATCAAGGTATGCCCGGATGGCGGGCGTCTCAAATATCTCGAAAGGCTGAGCATCTTGGTCGTCGACGCCGCCGAGTGGAAATGGAGCGTGTCTGAAGATTGGCAACAAACCAAAAGGAGAACGCAAGTTGACCTCTGATGAGTGAGGAGGGACAGCATGCTGAACGAAGGGCACTCCAAGCTCGTGAAGACCGCTCGTGATGGTCCGCGTGAAGGTGCTGAAGGGCTACAGAAGTAGCGAAAGTCACGACGAAGTGGAGAGCGGATGAGCTGCGGTATTATGAATGCGAGGTGGCAAATGCACATGTCCTTACTTACGATACCCCACACCTCCACGAGGCCAATTTCGTGTGCAGTGCCCGAAGGGTCGGGGGTTGTCATGATGATTGAGTGTGGCGGCGGTCGAATGGATGGAGCGCAGAGCAGAGCAGAGCAGAGCAGAGTGAGCGATGGTATTCTATTCGTCGTTCGTGATTCAAGCCCAGTGGTTGGTGGTAATGAGGGTGCTGATATGTTGCGCCACTCGTGCACGTGCTGGTGGCACGAGACTGCCAACCTCGAGGTCGTTCGTGTGGAGGTGCCGCGGTATTTTGCGTGCACGGACTCTCTCGCATTGCCGGCAAGGCAATCGAAAATCTCGACCCGCGCCGTCTCTTTCCAGCAGCTTGACGAGTCTTGAGTCGCTTTGCCCGAAGCTTTGCCGGCAGTCACGTGATTGTCCAACAGACCCCGCTCGCGCGATCAGCACCTATAATAAATCAAAATGCGTGCAAAGCATCCCAAGTCATGACGGCTTGTGACTCCTGACGTCTGACTCCTCGTGCACGTCACCACCACACGCATCTCCTCAAAACACCCTATTTCCGAATCGTTACCCAGCCGTGGACCATGCACCAGATACCTGCGGTCTGACGCTCTTACTCTCCACGACTTTTGCTTCGCAGGCCACCGAGCCGGCCGAGCGGCAGTCGCACGACATCTCTGGCTCACTCAGATTGGCCACACGTCAAAAGTGATCACCGCAGTGCTGCTCGGACTTCACACTTCGATTGGGACCCAAGCTGCTTGAGTGAGTGGTCTCTGTTGCGTGTTGGGTTTGCTTTGCTCCGCACGATGCAACACAACCTATTTCCGTCCTTATGCTGAGGTGCACTCGTGCCTGTGTGGAGTAAATACGGTGGCACACATGCCTTACTGGCAGCACACGGAGGTGTCTGATCATGCTTCAATTCTGTAGTTTAAGCGTGGATTTGTCCTCTGTGGTCTTCTTGAAGGCGCTATACTGATAGGAGCAATGTCCCTCTGCTGACGCTTCACTCTGAGCCCACGCAAGGTGCTGACACTCTCTCCTCTTCTCGACATTACGCATCGGCGACAGGTCTAATCCTGGCTCGACATGGCTCGCGGCGCAGATGACGATGAGGACGAGTTCGTCGGTTCTGCATCAGATTCTGAGCCGGAATTCAGCCTCGGCACTACTCGCGCGCAACGCTCTGGGTTAGACAGCCGGGGCAGGAGAGAAACTTCCAGTAGGACAAATGGAATCGAACAAGCAAGCGCTGATGCCGGCCCATCATCGGCTAGTCGATCAAAGCAACGAAAGGGGAATAAAGCCAAGCAAGGATATGCGTGGGAAGCCAGTTTCAAGCGCAGCTGGGATGCGGTCAGGGAGGATGAGTCGGGCGGCATCGAAGCTGCAGTGAGAGGCCTTCTGGAATGGAAGAGGCGCAAAGCCAGACCGCTTGCCCAAGCTGTGCAGAGAGGAATCATCAGGCATTTGGTGTTGATTATCGATCTGAGTGAGAGCATGTCGGAGCGCGATCTTAGACCCAGCAGGCACGCTTTGTGCCTGCAGTACGCCAAGGAATTTGTGGCGGAGTACTTCGACCAGAATCCGATTGGCCAATTAGGCATCGTGGTGACGAGGGATGGGATAGCTGAGCGCATAGGTCCACTAGGTGGTAAGTGGGGCTCACCACGTCTGCAGTATTTGGACTCCGAATAGATGCATATCGCTCATGGTTTTGGCGAACATATGCACCCTCACTCAGGAAATGCGGTGGAGCACACCCTTGCTCTGTCGAATGCTCGACGGCTGGAGCCAAAAGGCGAGCCTAGCTTGCAGAACGCTCTAGGAATGGCACGCAGCAACCTGTCGTGAGTCGTTGTGCTGAGGGGAGTCCCAGCTCAGTGGGCTGAATAAGCGGCGCTTTGTTTCTGCCTCAGCCATCTGCCATCTTCCTCCTCGCGAGAAATTGTGGTCTTGTTCGGCAGTTTGACCACGTGCGACCCTTCAAACATCCACACGACTATTGCTACGCTAGCGACCGAGCAAATACGCGTGTCCATGGTATGCCTGGCTGCAGAAGTCAAGGTGTGCAAGACGGTGTGTCTGCGAACAGGAGGCTCCTTTGCAGTGGCCCTCAACGAAGGTCATTTGCACGATGCGCTCTTCGAGTTGGTTCCCCCTCCCGAAGTTACCAAGGCGAACAAGACGAAGAAAGAAGGAGATCAGGCAATGGAGTCGGAAGAGGACGATCAATCCACGGCAGACCTGCTCGCTATGGCTTTTCCACTTCGGTTGCCCGAGTCTTCGAAACCGTCCCTATGCGCTTGCCATGGGCGGGTAAAACATGGAGTCAGCTTTGTATGTCCGAGATGCGAAGCCAAGATATGCGATGTGCCTACAGACTGCCCTATATGCGGTATCACTGTGGTGCTGAGCACGCACTTGGCCCGGAGTTATCATCACCTGTTCCCGACACCGTACTATCGACCTGTCAGCTGGGAAGAGTGAGTGGTCTTCGTTTGTAGGCAACACTGTGCTTGGACAGTCCTGTTGACCGCGTCTGATTGTTTTTCGCATCTCGAAAGGCTCGAACGGGATTCATCGGCTTCATCCTGCTGTGAAGGATGTGATTCGGCGTTTCCCCACGCCGCCAAGAGGCCAGCGCAGCAGCAATCCACGAACAGACCCGGCTCTCAGAATGCGGCATCTGCGGTCAATACGGCTGTGGCCGCCGCAGCGAACAGTAATCCCACTTTCACATCGGGGCGGTCAAATGGTGCTACCGCCAACAATACGCAAAGTTCGACTGTATCTCCGACAGGCAGATACGCTTGCGAAGTGTGCGAGTCGCACTTTTGCATAGAGTGCGATAGCTACGTTCATGAGATATTGCACTTGTGCCCGGGATGCTCGTAAAGACATCTCGAGAGCATCGATGCGCACGCGTCTGTTATCGCAAGACTAGAGTAACCTCACCCACCATCGTCTGTACCACTTCATCTGTAAGAGTAGCACGCTATAGTCAGTCCCAATGCAACCGAAATCGCAAGTCAAGCTTCATTTGCATGAACGCGCTCCTTCCCCCGACACTGCGCCGCGAACGCTTCCAAAAGGCCTCCTCCCTCTCGACCTCTTTGCTCGGCTCGTGACCATCTGGCCGTTGCAAGTGACAGGTCTTTATGCGCTTGCTGTCCACGAGCCAGGTGGTATCGGACTCACGAGTCTTAAATGGTCTTGACAGTGTGTGTCGAAAATCTCCCTCTCTTGCCCGCCAATTCTTGATTCTCCACTCAACTGCGTGCATTCACTGCAGGTCACGTGACAGCATTTGACCTTTCTTCTGTGCATCGCTTTGGAAGCGCACCAAACAGAACGCGTGCAGTCCATGAGCGCAAACCATGAAGTGAGGCATGAGTGATCGAGCGTTGCACACACCACGGTTGCGCAATGAGCTCGAAGCGGTGATTTTGCAGTCATTGAGTCAGACATAGCCATCGGATCGAACCTCTCATTGCCGACATCGCGCATTTGTCACAAAACTCGCCATTGGACTTGCGACTACGTCGTGACGTAGCACCTGGTCGAGACGAGACCACCCTCGCACTGACGCGCTCCGGGCCTTCGCGCTGCTCGATCCTCGACACGCACTGCGTCCACCGATGATCAGTGCTTCCGCCAACCTTTCGGCAACTCTCTAGTGGTCACTGGGCGGGGCGTTGTATCCCCCCGAGACGAGTTTGGCGATGCTCCTTCATGTCACTCAAGCCCCGCTGTGGCTACTGGGCGGGAGCGGTGACGTGGAAAGCCAGCGACTGTTGGGCGTGCCGTCGCAAGTGCCAGCTTCGACGTCCTCGGCTCCTCAACAGCCACTTGGAAGCTCGCTTCGATTGGCTGATGGAAGTCTGATTGTCCTACGAACGTTACCACCTGCGATTCTTGAGATCCGATTCATCCCTTCCTCGCGTCTACCTGAAGATGGCAGAGCTCCCGCCTTCTCGCAACTCGCACAACCCATCCTGCTTCGATTCCCTTCACCTATCTTGCCAGAGCCCAGCGTGTGGATTGATGCGAGGCAGACGCTTCACATCGTCGCAGCAACATCGACGGCTCTTCATCGCGTCTCTTTCACCGCTGCAGATCTTTCGACGGTCGATGGCCCTCACAACGACAGAAAGGAAAACTCGACCTCTGGCAGATCGCAAAGACGCGAAATTCCTAACACAGCCTCGAGAAGCATCGAGTCTGCGCAGCTCAAACAAGAGTGGCATGCAGAGCTGGCTCTGGACAAGGTTCAAAGGATACACGCGTGCGAGGAGGGAAGGGTCGTCGTGCAATGCGCCAATGGGCTTCTCATAGCGGAACAGAACAGAGCTGGAGATGGCAGCGGCGCTTTTGAAGGTAAGTCGGCGTGCTCAGACCTCCCATGGATGTGGCCCGACTTGTGTATGCGAAGGGAAACACGTGGATGTGCGACTGAAAACGCACTGCGCTACCGTCTCGCTGAATGTTCAAACACCCAGGCCCTTGGAGGACGACGGATCTTCGTGCGGGCTCTTTCTTTCGAACATTGACGAGGTACTTCGCAAGACCTGCGCCGACCTCGCCAGGCTCGAGCAACAGCCAGAACGCGTCATCGGCACCTGCACCCATCTCATCTGATCGGACAGCACTCTCCATCGCCAGCGCGAGGAGCTCTTCTTCCAATGAATATGAAAGGAAAATCAATCTGCGATCAGCTGCTCTTCAATCAGTCTCGCTCGTCTTCAGCGTTCACGCAGACGCCAGATTGCGGATTTGGGATATCATATCAGCCTCCTGCATTCGAGAGATCGCACTGCCCGCCTCCGCGCACCCTTCAGACGTCAATCAACCTCTGCAATCCTTCCCTCCCAACGCACTGCCGCAAGTCAAAGCATATTCGACATCTCACAGCATTCGGTTGCTGATCTACGTTCCTGCGGCATCGAGGCGGTTCTTTGCTTGCTTCGACGTGTCCCTGCTCGACGCTCCCGGCGCTGTTGGGGATGTCTCTCTCGCGTGGACGAGGGAGGAAGACTCGGAAACACGAAGGATCCGACTCGCAGACATGCACCTTGGCACGCTGCAAGAAGAGACGGACGAACTGTACGCAGATACACCAAGCGAGATCCTGTGGGGTGTATGGGAAGACGAGGTAGCGGCACACATCGCATGGCTGCCCCTCAATGCTATGGAAGCCCCTCAACAGGACAACGAGGATGCGCATTATAGCTGGTCGAGCGCGTACACGGCTAAAGCTCATCCACCTCTGCACGGCCCCTCCTTTGACCGCGAGCTGGAAGCATCAGATGACGTCCCGTCTTTCTTTCTCAAACGCATCTTGCACACTTCGCGCTTTGCGCCTTACTTGGCAAGCACCTTGGACACTTATGCCAGTGCACTCGGCTCTAATTTGGATCAGTCAGCGACAAGACCGCCGGCACTACGCGGACAGCCAATCTTCCAAAGTATTGCCGAACGCATCGCCTCGACTGTCGCAGCTGGTGTGCAGCTTCGGACGGACTCGCATACGGGTTCGTGGCGAACGGACGCATTTCAGGCGGCGGTCGCGCGAGAGTGGACAGCATTTTCTAGAGCTTTGGAAGCTCGGGCTGCTGAAGATCAAGCTCCGCTCGCCTTTCTCCCTAGCGAGACGGCCACCCCTCGTCTGCTTCTCGCTGGTGCAATCGCGACATTGTCGAGCCCGGACGCCGCCAGTTTACTAGCTCGCTGTGCCGAGTCAGAGCATAGCAAGACCGCTGCAAAGGGCAGAGCTGTCCTTCGCGCGGCAAAAGAGCAAGACAATCTCCAGAAACGAGTCGAGGCCAGTGGGCTACTTTCGCGAAGCGAGGCCCGGACTCGTGCACACTGGCAATTGGTCACAGCAGCAGCGCGTTTCGAGGCTGCCCTGGGTGCAAACGCGTCTCTCTCTTTCCAACGGAATCTTGAGCTCGCGTTGGATGCCGTCACACCTCTTGACGTATCGCTTGTGGACCTCGGAGACTCTCTGATGCTCGATCTACAGCCTGAGATGGCCGATCTACATGCGGTGCGCGAAGCATGCGCATCGCTCGGAGACGACCTCTTAAGGGCGCTGGATGATTTTGGCAAACTTCTTTGCAGTGGCACTGGCGACCGCAGGTCTGGCTCGAGCGAATTGGCTGAAGTCCCCACACGGCTTCATGCTGCCCTTCTAGCGGACGCGACTCAGCGATCACTGCTCGCTCGCCAGAGGGTGGCTCGGTCGTTTGTTTTGTTCCTTGTTGCCCTGGCTCAGCTCGATCCTCTGGACAATCTGGACACGGGAGCTCATCGCGCGATCAGAGCCCGTGCGATTGTCTCCTTGCACGACATTGGAACTCTTGTGGACCTTCTTCAAATCAGCGGGGAGACCGAAGTCGATGTGCCAACCTTCCAAGAAGCGCAGCCCAATGACGCCGACGCCGTTGTGCAGGCTTTGGGAGACATGAGCGTAGAAGCGACCAGACACACTTCTGCGCTCCATCGGGCTCGCCCAGCGCTGCATGGCGCGACATCTGGCTTGATTCATCGCCTCATCCTTTCTGGATTCCTACCACTACTGGACGCCACGCATCCAGGAGCGGCAGCGGGAGAATTGCTGCGTGAATCGCGCTGGCTCGACCCTGCTGCCCTCCATGCTACAGCGGAAACGCTGATTGATAACCTCCGAACAGAGGCACACCTCACAGAACCTCTTGTTCGGCTTGCTGCGCAACTCCTCTCCTTAGGCCTGCCCAGCGCTACCCTCACGATGGTCGACAGGTACGAATCTTGCGCCGCTTCCCACTTCGCGCGAGGTTCTGCCCTCGCAGCACTGGGTGAAGCCGGGCTCGCTTCTCATTCCTTCGAACTAGTAGCCACGTGGCTCTATTCTCACGACGACCTGTTTATGAGGGATGACGAAGATGGGCAGGGCACAGGTTTAGCGCTACTGTTGCCACAGCAAGTCCGCGAAGCGATGACCAGTGACTCCAGACTAGCGGCCTTCTACGCATACACCTCAGACGTTTTAATGACTGTTTCTCCGTCCCAGGCCGCTTATTTTGCAGGAAAGGCGCTGTCTTTGCCTCCGACGCCCCACGGTATCAACATGCACGCCCGCATTTTTGGAATCAGGCTGTCAGAGGGCGATTTTGCGGGAGCTCATGCGCTGCTACTGACTGCGCCGCGCGAGAGGTCGCTCAACGACCTGCTGAGGCAACTTGTAGGAGCCATGTGCGAGTCCGGCGAGGTCCATCAGCTCCTTGCATTTTCTTTCCCAACATTGCAACCCGAGATGGAGCGCACACTTGCTTTCAAAGCACGCAATTCGGACCCTATAGGCGAACCGAACTATTACTACATCCTCTACGCCTATCACATTCATCGCGGTGATCTGAAGAGTGGTGAGTCGGCTATGTATGGGGCATCGCACAAGACTCGTCTTGACTGAGACCTCCGTTGCATCTTTCTCGCTGTCAGCTGGTGCAACAATGTATCAGCATGCTCAGCACTTGGCCAGTCTGCAGCGCGAGCGATCTACGCTGTTCTCTGCCCAATCAGCTGTGGATGCATTTGCAGAAATAGCTATTCTGCAAGCACGTTCATACCTCGCAGCTTGCAACGTGCTTGCTCTCGTGCCCGAGAGGGATGCCTGGTTCGGAGACGCTGCGTTAGGCCATGACGAGGATGAAGATGATCTCTTGCCATACATTTCGAGCACGAGTCAGGCTCGTAAACCACAGCAGAGTCGAACAAGTCTTACTTCCTACATTCCCGACGAGCTGTGGAGCAATCAAACTCAGGAAATCAAGATCGTCTCTGCTGACGATGTCAAGCGCCGATATCGCCTGACCCTGGCACATCTCGAGCTTTTGCAGCTCTACCCCGAATTCGCTACGACCGGTGAGTCTTGCTTGGTATCAGGTTTGTAGTTTCTCGGCAATCTGCTGAGACTTCCGATGTATGTTGCTAGCGACGCACCTCGACTCATCCAACGTGGTACTTTTGTACACTCGTAACGATCAATACGACAAGGCAATCTCGGTAGCACGAGCACTGCAGGTGGACATGAGCGGAATCTTTAATAGTCTTGCCACAAAATGTGTTGGGCTTGCTCAAGGCCGTCAATCGAGACTACGAGCACAGCAGTCGTCCGAAATCGGAGCCAAGGCCTTGCACCCTCTCATGGCGGAGTTGCGAGACGATGAGGATGCAGACGGCAACGAAGGCGAAGCAGCGTTTCTCATATCTGCTGAAAGAAGCGCTGGTTGGCAAGGACCAGCAGCGGACCGAGCGTGGAAATATCTACAGCTGCACCTGGAAGCTCAGGACGCACGCGCTTCACAGTGGAAGTATCGAGTCGTGGTGCTTGAGCGCGTTCTTAGCCTCGGGGCCGCACACCTCATCCCGGAATGGCTCTTGGATTGGTTCAAGGTGAGCAGATGCACAGTGCACACCGCACCCTTGCACAGATCACTTACGTCTCGACAACTCCCATTACGCGACCTCAGCAAAATCAACCCACGCTGTTGGTGCAGTCATGCATGCGATGTGGTCTACTAGACGACGCTCTACGGCATGCAAATGACATGGTCAAGGAGGTGAGCATCTCCGCATCTCGATGTACGTCTAGTCCCGTTGAACGCTGCTGACTGTGTCAACTCCCTCCCTAGGCTCAGGCAAAGCGTCTTGACGAGCACGCAAGCAGTTCGTGGCTGCCCTACAACCTGATCGACACTCTTCTGCAGCAATCCGAAGATCCAAATTCTAGACCGCCACATGGAAGCTCCTCTGCAACTGCGACGAGAGAGCTGGCGCAGGCTCTGCGCAGCTCCATTCGAGAATATGTCGAGAAGCTGGAGGGCAAAGAGCGAGAGATGAGGCGGTACGCCGATAAAGCAGAGCTAACGCGCAGCAGGAAGCTTCAGCACGGAGGCGACCCTGAGATGGACTGGGCGCCATGACGAGGCGCTTACTTTGGCTAATCAAATGGTTCATACGATGTCATCCTGTCTGACAGCGAATGTGACGGATGCACGTTGGGATCTTTTGCGGGCCATGAGAATGCGTGCACAACTTCTAGGTCCAGAATTGTGGGCATCTGCTCGAACCAGAAGCCTCTGAGTTCAGCATTACATTGTGGCGGTTTGGAGCGTCCTCGGACCATGGCACAATCGCCACTTGTGCGATAGCAAGCTCACGCGCCCGCTCAAGATTGAATGTGTCTGGATGATCTTCGCGCACAGGACCGACCGTGCACTGATGATCGTGCACCGAAGTCTGGATTGTGAGGGATGCGCTTAGTCGTAATAGTCCTGAGAAGGCTGCGTGGACCAGTATCTAGTGACCGTGGATACGTGCCAACTCAAAATGCGCGCGCGTGTGTGTCCAGGCAAGGTCATCATTACCTTCTTGAGGCTTATCGCGGACAAGTAACCCGGAATCAGTGAATGCATCTCCGATGTAAGCTTGCCTTCAACGTGGTTTTGCGATAGCAGCATACGAGTCGAAGCTGGATTTTCTGCACACGCACCCGCACTGCGGTGCCGCAATCTTCGCAGCACCTCGACAGGCTGTCGCCGGCAAAATTCATACTGGGCACGCAGACCCACGGACGAAGATAGTCTGAGTGTGCGCGCTACGTCTCGCCTGGCAACTTTCGCGCAGTCAGTATCAATGCCTCTGACCTCTGCTCAGCTCTTCTTCACAATCCACCATCAGCCCGTTGCGCGCCCCATTTCGCTCTCTTTTTTTTTCCCACCATCCGCTCTGGCACTCGCTCTCTCTGCCCAATCGCTCACTTCCAATGGGCACATCCCTCCCCCTCTCACCAAGGGAGCTTTACAGCCGACTTCAACGAGAGCACCTCATCAACACCAGCGATCCGCAATGTCCGCTACCACCATCACTGTCATCCTCATCGACCTCTCATCACCAATTGCGAATTTTGGATGACCGCCGTCGCAGCAAAGCAATCCTATCGGCTTTGAACGTCATCGGTATTGAAGTCCCAACACGGAGAAAAGTAGGTGACGACCAGGCAGCCGCACCTATCGTAGACAAAGTGTTTCAATTCAGTCCATATACACCTAAGAAGGTCGGCTTTGGCATGGCTCGATGGCCGAGTGGTCTAAGGCGCTACGTTAAGGTTACCTTAATCCGTATCAGGCTTTGCCTGGGTCTACCGTAGTCCGAAAGGGCGTGGGTTCGAGTCCCACTCGAGTCACCTGCAATTTTTTAGAATCCTGACGACCAGACAATGCCCACATCGCACAAGCCGCGAACGCAACTCACCCAGCAAAGTGAGAGCAATCAACGGATGATTTTAACGAGACGAGAGCAAGGACGGAGCATCAAGCAACCGACACAAGCTCTATAGAGCCCGAGCTGCATGAATGCACAATCGTGGTCGTCGCGGACCGTGATTTGGTTTGTGGCGCGACGCGTAAATTGAAAGCCAGCACACACTGCGCGAAATCGCGACAGACCCTGAACGCACTCGAATTGTGCCTGTCCAGCACACCCTCATCGCACTCCATTTGACAGCCTCGTCAAAAAGATCAGGAAATCACTTCAGGTCCCTTACACGGGCCTTTGTACCTGCGACAGCAAGATCTGACGATTGAAATGGATGAGCACTGGACTGGATGAAGAGGCGAAGCGGAGCTTGAGCGAGGAATGAGTGTCAGACGAAGAGTGCCACGAGAACAGTTTGCGATGAGCTCAACGGACAGGCCTGCACGGCTCGAGCACCTTCTCGCAGGCTCATCGGGATGCGCCAAGAAAAGTCGTCACAGCCGAGCTAAGCTCTCACACAGATGGGTCAAGATTACGAAGCAAAGAAACGCCTACCCGTCACCCCTATCTTGAACGTAGCGCTCAGTGCACCCACGCCAGAGCGAAAGCGCTAGTCGCGTGAAGATGTCAGGGAAAGTCCAATTTGACGAACGAAACCGTAGACGATAGGAAGCATGTACCTTGCACGCTCGGGCCCCGCAAATTTGCCACGCATTGCTTTGGCTTTTCGCGCCCGAGAATGTCCACTGGTGAGTTTCGCATTGAGGGGGAAGTTTTCCAAGGAAGCCCCTCTCGAAGTGGGACTGTTGCTCTGCAGCTAAATATCAGAGGCAAACAAAAACACTTGACGACGACGAGAAATGCGCCAATAGCAGAGCAGCACCTGCGTGCAAGCCTGAATGGAACCCCATTTGGGAAATAGGTGCCAAAGCGGGGCAGCAAAGTGGCTGACAGACGGTCAAGAGGCAGCAAGATGCAGAGCGTAGGAAAGCAGAGGGAGGCATGAGAGTTGGCGACGTGAGTAGCCTGTTGGAAAGATGCGAGCAAACGCCGACATGGCACAAGAAGAGAGGAATGAGGGGCAAGTAGGGCTAACGCGGAATGACTAAAGTAAGATGAGTGAACGTGCACAAAGGACGATGTCATCAGCAACACTTGCAATTGCTGCCCTGGCCGCAGTCGCGAATGAGCACTCGAAAGGTCGGCTACAACTCGTTGGCGCACATGGAATGAAATGGGAAGCTGGCATCATCTGCAGAAGAAGCGGCAGCTCCGTCGTCTACAAAGCAACCGAATCTTGACGGAGATTGTCCTCGTGCTTTGTCGCCCCTTACGGTCGTGTCTGAGGGCTCTCTGATCTTTTGAGCCAGGCGAATCTGGAATAATGCAAGAAACGACAGACATGTGGGCACTTCTGTCCGTTTCACGATCGAGCTCGGGGCCGAGCTGACGTTTCTGGACGTGACGGGCGCCTCGTTCGGTAAAAGCATGTGCAGATTGCGATGCTTCGACTTGAGCTGCGCTCGTCAAGGCGAAGAGGGTGGCTGCGCTATCGCGTGGCTTGTCGTTGGTCGCGTATTGCGCAGTCAAGCTTTTCACGCGCGGATTCTGCTGTGGGATTTGTGTCGAATGTTGCGGTTGCGCGAGATGGAGCATCATATGGTATACGAGTGTGCCGTCTCAGGCCGACTGATACACTACAAGGTACCCAACATTAGGTCCCGATCCCTGAGCATTGGAGATCGTGACATCGTTGTCGCCAGCTTTGAGATCGAGCAGCACAGGTGAGCTCTGCAGGCCACTGTCAACGCTGCCGCCAGGCGCAAAGTTGACTTCGACGTCCTGGGTTGATGTGCCCGTTACGCTGACGAATGCGTTTCTGTACTTGGGATACTTGTCCGCATGATTGTAGTAGATGCCTGCCCAAACTTTGCCGGCTGCGCCGTTCGGGCTTCTGACACCCGAGAAAGTCACTGTCGAATTTGCCGAGCCACCAACACCATTTGCAATCTTACCGCCTGGACACTTTGCGCAATCCTCGATCTTTGTGTTGCCCGAGAGTTTGGCGTTCTGAGCGACGTTGAAGGTAGACCGAGCAAATCGCGTGACGGTGCCAGTCTTGGCATCCAAATCCCAAGCATCTTCGAAACGCTCAATATAGGGACGACCACTACTGTTCCACTCGAAGGGTTGCCATACCTCTGTGCTCTGACCGAGCTTGTCTGACCTCCATCTGTCCCCCATGTAGATGTTGCAGGTCTGCTCAGAACCTCGAATGACGAGATCGAAATGGTTTTGAGAATTGTACGTCTTCAGATTCGCAGGTGCGATGCCAGTGGGGGAGTCGAACGGTCCTTTGGGCGAATCAGCCACCAAAGCTAAGTTATCGTTTGGCTCCCAGCTCGATTGGTGCGAGAGGATGAGCCAGTACTTGTTGTCTTTCAAAAACATGCCGGAGCCTTCGTACCGCTGATTAGCAATTGTGTACTCGAGTTTGTCGGGCTTCAGGTAGTCCGCGCTCAGACTGGCGATTGCGAGATCCTTGTTGTCGTTCGTCGCAAAGATCAGATAAGCCGTTTGATCCTTGGGATCCACGTAGACGCTCATGTCTCTGCTCTCTTGACCAAGCGGACGAAATGCCTCCTGAAATTCGTATGGACCAGTGACCTGATTGGATACCGCGACCCCGACTTGCGCCAAGGCGTAGCCAGAGTCCTCGGCGTGAAACCATAGGACGTACTTTCTCGTCGAAGCGTTGTAAAGAACCTTGGGCCTTTCGCCGACCGATGTCGTCTTGTTGCTTGGAGGCAGAACAAGCCCTTCGTCCTTCCAAGCAGCGAGATCCAAGGACGAGTACATGTGGAATCCTTGAAATGTGCCAGAGTCGTCGGATTTATCCTCGCCCACCCAGTAATAAGTGTCCTGAACTTTGAGCACTCCGCCGCCGTGCGCTTGGATGTACTTGCCAGATGTATCGGTCCATCGTTGTCCCGAGACGATTGTCGCAGCTCGAGCGCTGATGGTTGCCACAGCAAAGCTTATGGCAACGGTGCGTATGAGATGGAATGTCAAGCAAATCATCTTGTAAGGCAGCGGAGCCGAGGAGCGAATTGCGCAGTAGACTTTCAAGAGGCACGGGACAAGATCTAACCCATCCACTAGCCAGCTTTATAGGAACAGAGGAGACGTGCTAACATACTGGGCCATCCGCCCTGAAGTATTGTCCCAATCACTCCCATGGCCAAAACCTGACTGCAGCGCGACTTCTGTTCAGATCGTAGAGCTTGGCTGTGACAATAGCCGTATTGCACACGAACAACACTTGCCTTGCTAGAAGAGGAGGAGTTACGACCGCATGCTGTCAATGGTCGCTCGCTAAAAGAGGCACGTATCCTACTTCTGACATGACAGATGCGTCGCCAGCCTCGTGCCGGCCAACCGAGACGTAGCGCGACAAGCTTGCTCGCACCAGTCAATGTTTCTTTGCAGCTCAGCAGAGCTCATTGAAGTGATTCCACTTGCCACACGAAGGAAGCTTACAAGCAGCATCGTGGTTCTGTCTACTCCCGATCGAGTTCTTCTCTCACAGTGAGGTCATTCTGCGTTCGTGAGAGCGAGCGCCAGCGTGGCAGAAACTTTACGCAAGGAAGCTCGTCGCCGCGCGTCGGGATTCTCAGAAAGGAGGACTTGGGAATCTCCTAGCGGCTTGTGAAACGGCGAAAATGCCTAATTTGCCGATCTTCGCATCGTGGATGATGCGCTGATGCGAGCGGCAGTGTGAGCGGCCCCCCGTGCTGCAGGTCAACATGGATTTGGACTTGGAGATTGCCGATGGGAATACGGCAGATGCAGCTTGATGGTCGCGGGACAATCTGATGATGCGTGCGGGGAAAGTGCAGGCAGGGGTCGCTGCCGCGTGAGGTTGCGCCCCAAAAGGAGCGCGGACCGCAAGAACTCTGCGCTTTCACCGGAGGCAGCTTTTACTTGTCTGGAGAGGGGAAGCAAGCTTGCTACACATTTGTTCTGAGAGAGGGTGATCGCGTAGGAGAGGGGTCGGAGCAGGGCCCAAGTAGTCCAGCGCGTAGCGAATGATGTAGAGCGCCCATGCTGATCTCACTTTACTGTGCGGAGAGTGCGCTTTGCTGCTTCATCTTCTCGTTTGGGCAGCTGCTGCGCTGGATGTGAATTCCCGGCTCTCTGCACACATCGACTCGCAGGATTCGTGTAACACGAAAATTGAAGAGGAACGAGGCTGGGGAGCGCTAGCAGTTGACGGGCAATCTGGAGTCAAAGCTGGCCCTTGTCCAATTCGAACGTCCATAGCACACAAAGCGAAGCGATGAATCGATCGAGAAGGTATAAAAGCTCCGACGGCTGTGGAGCGAGAGTTCCGTTGATGTAGGTAGAAACTCACTATCACTCACTTTGAATGCCTCCGGATGCCGGCCTTATTTGGCTACTGGCCTGGGTAGCCTGACCTTGTTGGCGTCTCACAAATGTACCGGTGAAGTATAAGCGGTATGCGAGAGAAGCGTCGACGACGGCCAGCATTGCTGTAGCCGCAACCTGCATTTGAGCCAGGGCATTGCGACGCATTAAGAATGTGGTGTCGATGTCTGCGCTTGCAATCAGATGCATGAAAATGTATTGCAAAGAGTCGTGGGAATAAGTGTCACAGGACGAAGGTTGGGAGGCAATATCTCTTACTCGGATGACTTGGAGGTAATCGGGTCCCGCTCAGCTACTTCGTGCAACGGCGAGGCTACCTCTCCAGTAGGCGCGGACGGGTGCTTATCTCGCGAGGCTTCTGAGAGATCGACTTCGAGCAATGGATCGCCGTACTGATCCACAATCACCCACTGCTCTTGCTCATCGGCCGACGGCTGTTCACCGACCTTACACTGTGCGTGGTCGTCTACCTCGGGTATCGGCTGCACAATCTCCTCCTTGTGGGCCGCGGTCCTGGACAGTCGTTGCAGCGATCGTATTGCGCTTACGAGGTTGGCTCGCTGAGTGCGTTCACTAGCTATCAGCTCTGCAAATCTAACAGCTTCGGCCGACGTCTTCGCTCCTGGATGTCCCCAAGGGAAACCGTGCTTGTCCACGTGAGGTTCGTGGTGTGCTTTCTGTTCTGCAGCTTGAATGATCTGTGCACCATCGTCATCAACGACCAGCTGAGGCTCGTGCAAGCGTAAAGATGGGGATGGGATCAGGATTTTTGCGGGATTGTGGGCTTGGCTTGACCCGTGAAGCGTTGCCCATCGCTCGACATTGCCTTCCTCACCCTCGAGAAGTGCCAACATGGCACTGCCTTCCTTTCCGATTGGCTTGACATGTCCATAGCCTGACGGCGGTTGCTCTGTTGTTGTCCCTGAAAGGCCAGGCGCAGCGCTTATCGCGCTGTTTACGGTACTGCTCAGATACTTCCGAATAGCTGCGCCGATAGCTGTCGCTGCGTCGCTGCCAGAATCAAGCGCCCTGCCGACTGGAGGCGTGCGGGCACGATCATTGTCTGCCGCTGCTGCAGCCGCGAGCGCTTCCGCTTTCCGCTGTTCAGCTTCCTCTTGCATACGAAAGTTCTCGGCGATAATGGTCTTTTGATTAAAAGTCAGGCCACCAACGTGACCACCTTCGCCCCCCGAGTATAGGCCAGACTCCTTTGTCGGCACGTGCGCCGCTGCTGGGTCCCAGTGCTTGCGCGGGCCATTGCCAGGAACGCCCCAGGAACCTCGCTTGGGAAGAAGCAGCGGGTGTGCTTCTGTAGTGAACACGTAGTCCTGGAATCCGGTTTGTGAATCATCAGCACGAGTCCATGGCTATAGCTACGGCTTTGAACTCACATCGAGTGATATGAGATCAGGCGGAGAGAAAAGCAGATAGTAGTACCTGTTCATACAGTGACGTAAGCCACAGGTTGGCGCCGGATTGCGCCCACCCTGACTCACTTGGCTACCTCTGCAAACATGAAGCTCTCCATAGAGTCGGTCTTCTGCGTTGGCACAGCATTCACGTTGTAGATCGAAGAGAATCCGGCGTCCGTCATGCAGTGCGTGACCCATGATGAGAACATCTGCCAGCCTCTCTCCTGATTGTTTGCGCACAAGTAGCTGTCAGTAGTCAAGGAACAGCCTACGGCCTGTGTCGGGCTTCGCCACTCACCTGCCAGATCGGATCGCCAGTGATACGCCACATGTATAGCACGCTCTCAATAACTTCTGGTCGATTGCGATAATCGGTGCTCATGTGCCGCACACCGACCATTGGGCTGCCTCTCGGCTTACCCCGTCTAGACGTGCCATCCTTCTCCCAGATGAATTCGAACCGATCTGGATCGGAGTCACTATAGAACACAAGCTCTTCCGGCCCTATGCCCGTCGCGGTCGCATTGTAGGACCACCAGCATGTCTCTGTGAAGCGACGTCCATTAGCCAAGTCGCGTTCACGTCCCAGCAGTCGGGAGCCGAGACCAAGCATCCCGCCGGAGAAGCAAGCCAGATGCTCCAGCTTTGGTGTGCTGCAACGCCTCATAGAGAGTGTGTAAGCAATCACGTTTACAACATCGCAAACAACTCGACACTCACTAGCTGTGCCCATTACTGATACCGATCGTCAGAAGGCTACTCGCCGCCGGGACAGCTCCGATGGAGCGCATGAGGTGCTTCCTCGCGTCGTCGATCGTTTCCGCATACATCCTGCCGTATTGCAGAGCCCCACCGAGCAGCTGATGCTCCTTGATCAGATACTCGTAATACGAATCTGCCATGCCGCCAAAAGAATATGACCCGTACGAATTCTTCGACTCCGGAAAGAGAGTAGTGGGGAGCAGGCTTCCCAATCTGTCTGCGCCTTTGGTCATATTCCTGTCCAGCCAATCTGTCGTTCGCTGCACCTTGTCAAAGTAGGTTCGGTTACCCGTCACCTGCCAAAGTCTGGTGTATTCGAGCAGCATAGATCCGGCCTCTGCCAGGATCGCGCTGCTTCCAGCGCTGTGAGAAGGAGGCTCGCCGAACCGCAGACGACCGATGGGTACGCCAGAATGCGTTTCGAAAGCGGGCGAAAGCAGCTGCGCGAGCTCTTCCGCTCTGTCCAGCATCAGCTCGTCCCCTGACAAGTCGTACGCAGAGAGCAAGCCACCGAGATATCGGATGGAAGTTTCAAAGACTGGTACGCGCCCATCGGATGAGCCATACGCTGAGCGCGAACCCCCAACGAGGCCAAAGTCGATGTCCCGGACGTGCTGTCGAGCTAGATCGTACTCCTCAGGTAGATCCATGATGAGTAATGTGCCCAAAGCGTCGACAATTGTAGCACCCCAGCCCTACGAGTGGGAAACATCTTGTATTTGAGCATCACTGCGCAACATCCTGCGATGCATGGTACCCACTCACATTGAAGTTGTCGTTTGGCTTCTTGCTCACCGGCTTGAGCTCGTCATGACCCCACGCGTACGTCTTGTACCCTTCCCAGGCGTGCAAGAATGCAGCCTTGACCAACTTCTGCCTCTCCGCTATGAGCGTCTCTCGCGCTTCGTCGTTGTCAACACCGCTGTGTCTATGAGGCGCCTGGAATGCATGCTGCACTCTCGGTAGAGGTTTGATTCCAAGCTTGGAATCTAAGAAGCTGGATAATTCGGCCAGAGGCGGCCTCCAACCCGCGAAAGGTCCCACTCGCCAATCCACGTCCAACCCTTGCTGAGCAGGGTGCATCGCATCAGCTCGAGTGCTCCTGCTCCCATTGTCAGGTCTGTTCCAAGTGTTCCAGACGTCTCCAGTGGGCTCCCAGGGGGCTTGACCTGGATGAGGTGGTCGTTTCCGCTCTGCTTTGCTGCGCGCTTCGAGCACGCTCAGCAGGTGAGCAGGAATTTCGCCTCTATGCGGATTTGATCCAGCAGGATACTCGGTAGCCGTAAAGGTGCTGGCTAATTGCGGAGGAAAGGCGCTAGACTCCAGGTAGAGCTTGTCTGACTCTGCAGAAGGGGGCAAGCCTCCCAAGTCATCGACGACAAGTGGACTAACAGGAGCGGGCGAGCCATCTTCAACTGGGTCAGAAGGGAAGCCAACTTCTTTACCGGAGCCCGGCGGCGGCTTATGTCCGAGCCAGGGGCGCATCGAGTCTGACCAATCTGCAAGGAAACGGAGTTGAGCGATCTCAGCAGCGGCCGCCAAACGTTGGAAGTCGGGACGCCCTGATATGTGACAATCGCAGCAAAAACACTCACGGTCTACGCCCCACCTCTGCATTCGCTCCTCTCCCGCAAAATCGGGTCCCCACAAGAAGACATTTGCAAAGAAAAACACGAGGATGATTGTGCAAAGCAAGCTTCTTCGTCTGGGTATCAAGCGGGATAATAAGTTGGAGGCACCAGGAGTAGCGCTGCCTGGGACCGGCAAGTACGATTGCCTCGCTGTCAACATCGTGTGCGCTCGCGCCGAGGCCGAATCCGGTGGTTGCGCGGGAGGTCGAAGATTATGCTCTTGCTGCCGGCATGAAGCGGGGGAGAGAGCCTCTACTCTGCTTGGGCGAGAGACTTCATCGGCAGTCGCAAGAGGTTCACCGACTATGGCTTGAGAGGATCCGCCCTCCCTAGTCAGATCACTGGGGTCTGCTGTGGTGTGTGATGAGCGATCGTGCTGGTGATCTCGAGGCAGTGGCAGCCTTCGCCGCAGCTCCACGTCGTTCTCGTTTCGGGAAGCAGGGTCAAGTGTTTTGGTACTTTTTGCGCGGACGGAGGAGGACAAGGGTCGAACTGAAGTGAAGGAAGATGGTGACTGCTGATCCGCGGGTGAGAGTAGGGTTTCCGGGGTCGGGAGAGTAGGAGAGCCTGGAGTAGGTTGCATGCGGAGCGCGAGGATGCTGAGGTGGTATTTTCAAGACGGTGACTGGGCTCGCTTTTCCACCTTCTGGCAGCAAGGTCGATGTCACCGCGGGGTGCGGTGAGTAGGTCAGCAGCCAAAGAGTGTGGTGGCTGCCGCGTGTGTGGAACAGTCAGTCAGGCCAACGTCGCGACTCCGCAACAGAAGAGATGCAGCAGTAGCAGCAGCAGTCGCAGTTGCAGCAGCAGCAGCAGCAGGCACGCGGCGTCCTCCACGTCCGCCAAGGATGAGTTCAGGATACAGTAAACGCGGAGACGCAAGGGCTGCAGCGGACATGCAGAAGAGGCTGTTCGAGTCGGGTTTGTGTGAGACAGCTTCACAGTGCTGGGGATGGACTCTGCCTGCTGATGGATTGGCCAGGCTTTACAGTAGGTGCAGTCGATTACTGCTCGTGCTGGCTGCAATTCTTGATTGTTGGCAGTCAGCGTGTCGACTTCTTTGGAGGCGTGCACCGGCTGCCGAGATCTTGTCTCTGCTGATTCGTGTGCCCCGAACGGGTGAGTGGCAAAGATTCGTGAGTCGGAGCTACAGTCGCGCGAGTGACTCCACAAGCGTGACTTGACTTTCCGGCGACTGATCTGCTGGCCTTGGCAGGCGTGCTCGCGTGGGTCCTTTTACAGACGCCATGCAGCTAGCAGACCAACGCTGCTGGCCTCTGCTGCTCTTTGCTGCCAGGCGGTCCCGGTCATTATTCGCTACACGCTAAAAGTCTTCCCGAGCTGCAGACAACACTCACTGAGCGCCGCGAGACAGGCTAGTCTCCTGCAACCACCAAATCCGTGCCACGGAGGAGGCTGAAGCAGCTGGCTGCGTCTCGCAGACAATTTCGCTGAGGGCGAATTACGACCGAGAAGCCGCTTGACTTCCCGTTAAAGTTGGTAGGGGTAGCATGGGATGCTGCGGGAGATCGGGGGCAGATGCAGTCGTGATGAGTCAAGGCACGCTCGTCGAAATCCACCGTTCCGTTGCCACGTGACCTAGCAAACGACCAAGCCATCACCATTCGCGCGAAGGCTTGCCAAACGTCCGTGGCCTCGCCCCTTGGACTGCTCGTTCTTTGCATGGGTAGCGCGCTAGTCGTGAGTCGTGAGTCTTAGTGTGAGTGTGCGGTCAGTCATGGGCCCCACTCGCATGCAGTCAAGTGTGGTCATTCTCTCGCTGTACACAAGCTCACGTACTGTACATGCACGCTAGTTGAATTGATGAGAGTTCAAAAGTCGTTTGTGGAGCTCAGATCTACAGACGCCGGCATACGAAGACGCGTTAAGCAGCTGCAAGGCGAACTCCTTGGTCGCTAACAAGACCCACTGCCTAGCAAACAAGTCCGAGCAGACCCCTTGACGGCACATAACCCCTTTCAAAAATGGTACCGGTACATCTCCACTCAAGACTGCGAAAGCTTCGGGGAAATCGTGAATGTAGCAATGTGACGGTCGTTCAAATCTTTCTCATCTGCCTGGCCTCTGACCAGCCCTCCCCCACACCACCCCCTCCGTCCGTCGGAGTACACATGGCTTGGACAAACGCCCCCTCATCATCCTTCACGACTGACGACTGACCGCAAAATCCCGATTCGACAATTACGACTACCTTACGAGATTCACGACTCATTGAGAATACTTTTTGAATTGCACGCAACGGTGCGTGCACATACCTACATCCGCCAGCAACAAAATGCATTTGACCGCCGCCTCTACATTGTTGTTCCTGTCGACAGCTTTGCAGGCCAGCGCTTCCATCTTGCCAGCTTGGTACTTTGACAAAGCCACATCGACAACGACTTTGGCCGCTGCTCCTACATGCAACGGTCATGCTGAGCTTTGCGGCAAGTCTTATGCCGACGTTGTCTACATCGGAGCGCACAATAGCTACGCTGTGGGAGATGGAGTGAGCGACAATCAGGCGGTGAACATCACAACCACTCTTGAAGGCGGCATTCGATTGATCCAAGGGCAGGCGCATGAAAATTACGGCGTCTTTCGATCGAGCGAGTCCAATCCTAGCGAACTCTCATTATGCCACACGTCTTGTCTGTTACAAGATGGAGGTTCGCTCGAGGACTATTTGAGAAGCGTCAGAGCTTGGCTGGACGAGAATCCACGAGAAGTTCTGACGATCTTGATGACGAATCCGGATAGAGTGGACATTAGACGCTGGGAGGCGGGCTTCAATTCAACTGGCTTCAATGCGAACAACACGTGGTGGCCCGACAACAAGCGCGCAGATGGCAGCTACGGACCTAGCCCTTCAAGAGATCAGTGGCCGACTCTTGGTGAGATGATTGATCAAGACAAGAGGGTGGTTATCTTCCTCGACTACGCATCAGATCGCGATCAGGTCTCCTGGATTCTTGCAGAATTTGATTCCATCTACGAGAACCCCTTTGATCAGCTTGGTGAGATTGCACCCGAAAAGTCTGTGCGTGGAGTTCGAGCAGCAGCCCTGACCGCCACAGCGATCTTGTGCCCGCAGAGTTGCCTTTCAACTGTTCCGTCGATCGCGGCCGTTCCGATGGCACGTTGGCACTGCTGAACAATAACAAGAACACCCAACCACTGGGTAGCACTGTGGCTATCTCGACTCCCGACCGCAATGCCACCTCCACGACCAATTCTGCAGACGGAGAGAACGGCATCGTAAGCACAGTGCAACGCTGTGCTTCAGAGACGAAGACTCGCGCAACCTTCGTCTTGGTCGAGTGAGTCGCCTTCCGTGCCGGGTGGAGGTATGCATTCGTATGCTAGCGCTGACGAGCCGATCGGTACCACGGTACCAAGCTACTGGGACACGCCCGCCAAAAACGGCGTGGCCGAAGCCGCTGCCCGACTGAATAACGTTTCGCGACCTGGGAGCGCCAACGATGTTATCCCCTCATCTGCTTCTCGCTCCATCCTCCAACATCCGTCGGCATTTCTTGTACCACATGTGGCTGCTGTGTTTGCCTTGGGGCTTGCTTTGCTGTAATTTTGCGCCCCACTTTGAGCCTCTGAGCTCCGCCCTGCCCCGCCTTACCCATTTGGTTGCGCAAAGACCCGAAATGGCACCATCGCATACACGTTGGCATTGCCGAATATTCACTAGGGCGATGTTCGAAGAGCTGACTAATTTGTAGCGGCTACTCTTCTGGCAAGCGCTCGTCCTACCATACTTGATTTCGGACATTCAACTTGATCCAGCAATTTTGAATCGAATCCACGATTCATCATGATCAGCTTGCTGTTGGTGGGCGTCACGTGGTTGTGCGCGTGCGCTTGATTTGTGACTGCATCATCTCGTGAGGCATGTGACCTCGTTTCGCCGCTATCACCACTACTGCTATCATCGGCTCAAGACGAGCTGCCAGGGGCCTGCTTTCGATGGTTGTAATCAGTGGAAGCAGTGATGGAATGCTGCGTCTCAATCGGGATGCGCAACATGCAGCATCAGGGTCCTCGAGATGACCTCTGGACACTTCTTCTGAATCTACGCGCAGCCCAGAATCAATCTGAATCACCAATCACAATCTCGGCTCACGAATCACGAATGGTGAATCAGAATCACGAATGCAGGAGCTTGATGAATCCGTGCATGATAGCATCAGAAGCGTGCGGCTCGCGGCCAACGCGAGTCTTGATACGTTTGCTGACTGTGACTGTTGTGTTGAGGCATACCGGCCCAGATCTCATGGCGCGTGCGCGCGCGTGTCTGGTGGCTGTGAAGC